TAAGATTACTTTTGCAATAGAAACATATCTTTTTACTACAATAGAAACAAACTAAGTTATAAACTTATTACACTATCTATAAACTCGATGAATCTCAAATTGTTATTAAACACAACCTAATACTCTCAATGATAAATGGAAAAGTAAGTATTCCTTTAACTGACACAATTTCCTTCCAAAAATGTTACATATTTGGTGCGACTTCTAAAATTATGAACGGTGAACTCTAAGACTTAGTTATTAAAAAAAAACATTATTGCTTTGGTCTTTGCATGCATACGTTTGTTTTTTTTTTTGAATATGCAATATGTAAAAAAGTGATTAGTAAGAAGCAGTAAAGATAATTCTATTTTCCAACAACGTTTAAATATCAAACAATAATTTAAAAAACATATAGGTTTTATTGCAGAAAAACCAAAACCTGGCTACGGAAATACAAATGACACTAACACAGCTCGCAGGTTTTTATTGAAGCATTAATGAGATGATTACAAGTTTAGACTTCAATCTCATTAAAACTTTTAGTTTTTATTTAGTTAAGGTTCATCGCACTTTCAATTTTTGATTTAAAATTTGCCGGCTGATTTTTATGGAACCACTATATGTGAATAATAACTTTGAAAAAGAAAATTAAAAAGCTTTTTTTAAGTTCTACTAGGATTACATTTTTTAGGAAAATAAAATTGTTGATTAAGGTACAAATTCAATGTAAAGGAAGGGAGTAGGTCATTTTAAATTATTGAAATCTTTAACTGTATAAAATTCTATTAGTGTGTTACGTTGTTTTATGAAACGCAAATAACTAAAAAAAGACGTCATTAAAATATAATATATTATTATACATTCATTATTTGAACGACGTTTTTTAATGTATACACAAAATGAATAGATTGGAAAGTATATTTTGTCGTAATGATGTGTATATGTATATAAAAGATGATAAACAGTAATATATAATTGTAAGGTATTTGACGCTTGATCACCAAAACAAAAATTATGTTTGTGTTGATTGTGGTTTGATATTTTCATAATTACGGAAGATTTTATTTAAGTTATATAATTTCGCAACTGCAATGTTTGGTCGCATACTTTGGATCAACATTGGGTTTAGTAAAAAATATCAATTTTTTTGATGTTTTTACATAAATTGGATAATTGGATAAACGTTTATTTATACACATTGAATCAACTTCGAATTATATACAGACCAACGTTGGGTTAAGATCGTAAAAACAAATAACTCTTTGCGATGTTTTTACATACATTGGAAAAACGTTGATTTATATACATTGAATCAATGTCGAGATATATACATTGTATTAACGTTGGGTTTAGATCGCAAAAACAATAAACTTTTTGCGATGTTTTTACATACAATGAACCAATGTATATTTGCTAGCTTAATTATTACCGTCGGTAATAATTTTATTATTAACCAAATGACATTGGATCAACGTCGTTTTTGCATTGGAAAAAAGAGCCGACGTTCACGATGGTTTTGCATACACTGGCCCAATGTAAGTGTGCTAGCTGAGAATTTAGATGGAAATAAGAATCTTCTAATATCAGAAGTGCTGACGACACTAAAAACTTATAAAATATGCGTCAAAGTGGCGTCTTGCTTTTTTTTTTTAAATGACACATGCTTTTGCATAATTTTAGTTATTTTTGTTCTAAAAAAGAATATATCAATAAGAGATTCGTTTCGGCTACTAACGTACATTGTTCTTTAGCAGTAGATGAAAACAAATGCTCTTTTTAAACTTCCAGTGGTCATTAAAATGAAAACCTTTTGGAGAAAACCTAAAGGGAGAAAATTGAATTGTCTTGAAATACGATCAGAGATATATAAGAGGAGCTTTTATGGATCATATGGAAGAGCTTTTATGACAGACGTTTTTTATTGGGAATCAAAACTAGATCAGTTATTAGATATAGCAATTTGCAAGTGCGTAATTGTAACGAGCATTTTTTTAAAATATCATTCTAGCGTTGATTAAGTACATATTAGGTAAACATATCAAGAGAAAAATATTCCCAAGGTTGAATTTTATGGCTTATAGCCCACAGAAAAAAAATGGTTTATTTTAAAGTAGTTGGTAGGTTCAAACTATATTGAAGAGACCGCCACGTACATTATACTAAAAGAAAAAGAAATGAAGAGGAAGTATGAAAAAATAAGATATTCGAAATAGAAAAAAAAAAAGATAGAATTTGATGATGCTAAAAATTTCTTTGCGAGGGATTCAAGTTTCAATGAGGAATTAATTTTAGAAAAATAACTTCAAAACAGTAATCGGAAAAAAAAACTTTATGTTAGTTAGTCGTACTGTAAAAGTTTGAAAAAGACTTAATGTTTCACCAACAGCAATCTTAGCTGTGATTACGTCGTTTATTTTAGAACTTATTGAAGTGAAGTATTTGACACCAGATATGTCTTATTAAGAAGTTAATCCAATCAATGTAAGAAAAACGAGAGAAGCAATTGTAGAATGTGTAAAATATGTCTAAAGAAAGAATAATTGATGAAGAACCTTTTAAAAGCTCCTTTATTGATGGAAAAAAGGAGACAACTCTACTTTTGGAACAGAACCCTCAAACAAGTAAATTCCACATGAGAGTTATTAAGGAAAAATATATAACTGTGACACATAAGCCAGATACCTTACTCATAACACTCTTGCTAAAGCTAATTATATGCCTCAATGGTAGTTCATTAATTCACCAAGTAAACCAGTCAAAGAAGCAGCAACTGCTTTTTATAATTTGGTGGTTCCAAATGGAATCCACGAGTGCTAAGAAGTTTAAGGAAGACACTTTACATACTCCATAATAGTTTATAAATAAATAGAGGTTTTCTATCAAATATGAAATATTTAGTTGCAATAGAATCGTTCTATTGCATTTAAATGCTGCATTGTATTGAATTACCATTGAGGCATATAATTGTTGAACTCGATGGCCCAACAAAATCAAAATATTGTTTTACTGGCTCTATTGGTTAAGCTTCATCTAAAATTAATTATCTAAAAACAGTTTTAACACTTTGATTTTTTATTTGCGTTCATATATTTAGAAAATGCAGCCGCGGTGCATTGGTGAGAGTTCCAGCTCAGAACCCAGAGATCCATGGTTTGACGCCAGCTCTAGCCCAATAAGCGACAATAATAAAGAAGGAGGCGTAAATTTCCTTGTTAAATGGTTTACCGCAATACTTTGTGATAAAATTGCAAGGACTTTTGGGAGCACCCTAACAACTACAAAAATAAGTGCAAAATTTAAATACAAGCTACAAACAATATCAAATTTTCAAGTCCAACTCTAATTTGTTTTTAATGACTTTAAGCTAAAAACAAATAATAAAAGAACACTGCCTAAAATAACTAAAATAGTAATTCCCTTTTTTTCAGGGTTATTTAAAAAAATTATATGTAATTTTTTTTATTTATTTATTTATTTTTTTTTTTTTGTCGAGTAATGCCAATAATAATTTTTTGTCAACTAAAATCTGTACAATAAAAAAAGTCTTTGTTTGCTAATATTTGCCGACTGCCAACTACAATTTTATTTTTGAATTTTGCAATGTTCAATTATCTAACTGATTAAGTTTATGGAGGTTAGAAACCCCTACGCCCTACACTTGGAACGGCCTTGTCTTCATCCCTTAAAGTTTTTTCTTTTCAAAAGAAAAAAGTTATTAAATTTCATAAAATAAGGTAATACTCTAAAAAAGGCAAATTATACATTTCAATAGATTAAATATCAATAATTGAACCGAAAAAAATCAACAAATTTATCATCTCAAAAAGTAGATAAATAAACATAGATTTAAACGCTTAGATAAAAACTTTTTAAGATAATTTTTTTCCCAAACCAAATTTCATTTAGTGGCACAATTTGATATAATTCGCAGAATTAAAAATTTCAAAAATAAGATATAACGGAATATTCGTGTACTATATTTATGAATTAAGATATTTCTCTTTTTATATTTTTAATTTTAAATAAAATCGTATTAGTACAAAAATATTTAATTTAGACAATTAATATGTAAAAGTTGCTATTATGTTTGAATGAATAATAACTTTTGTAACAACCAAGGGTAGGTTTATTTAACCAAACAATTTTTATTTTGTTTTTTGTTTTTGTTTTTTCTTTCTTAAAGAAAATTTAGTAATAATGTGTATCGATTATAAACTATTAGGATCAAACAAATATATGTTAGTCCTCTTTCTATTGATATATATGATGTAACTTTAGTAAGTTATACTAATCATTAGACTGTTGTTTACTCCATGTTTTATGTTTGTTCCTATACCATGGAATTTAGTTGTTATATTCTTAATGTATAGAACAACTACTGTAAATTTTAAGGTATTGTCAAAGATTAAAAATATTATATTAAACAATCAAACTTGTTTTCCCTGAAACAGCACTTTACATGCTGTTGGATTTAGACTTTGGACTTCTTAACTGTCGGATAAATATTCTGTACATTATGTAAAAGACCATCAAAATAAAAATTAAAGTTTTGAAATAAACAACATTTTTAACAAAACAAAAATATTATTTAGTTGTTTATACTCTTTTTGACATTCCACAATCATTATAAGACTGGTTCATTTACTAGTTTTACAATTACCCTTATTTTTAAAGTTAATTTGCTCATTTCAATATCATTATTTTAACTGCTCATTGTTGTTAATACATTTGCATTTAATTTTACTACTTTTATTTCGATAATAATATGGTACTTAACAGTACTTAACATACTGCATACTTTGATATAAAAAAACACCAAAAAGAACACGCTAATGACAAAAAGGTGACAAAGTGATTTTAAAAAGTTTTTTATTATCTTTTAAAAAAAAATTTTTTCAATGTACAATCTTTTCGTGTTTAATTATTGTTTAATTAAATTAAAATGTGCTTATTTAAAATAATTTCGCTGAGACTTTACATGCTTTTGGTTGAAACTATTGAAACTTTAGACTACTTACCTGTTGGATAAGTGTACTGTACATTATGTAAACGACCATCTAAATAAGTAAATAAAATGTGCTTATTTAAAATAATTTCTATTATCTAAGGTCAGGTCAGGTTTTCCTGCTACTGGTAACATGTAACCCAGTACAACCTGCTCCATGTCCTGCTGCCTTTTAGGATACGCTTTTTTAGGCAAAGGCTAGGAGAAGTTAACTCCGAATTAAAACACCCCCTGCCTTGGGGCTCTTGGTTGAGTAAAGGCTAGAGATGGTGTCTCGATAAAAATACTCATCTTGGGCAGATGTTACATGCATCCAGCTGCTGTCTTGTAGAAGGCCTCCTAGGCAAAGACTTAAGGGGTAAACAGATTCTATCTGTTGACCAGCCTCGCACCCCTTCCTCATCTATTAGGCTGGCGCAGATGTATTTTTAATACATTGTTTCCAGTTTAGGATGTTGAACGCTGGATCTTCTTGACTCAATGCGTGGGTATTGCTTGTGTCTCTATTTTTATGACTGGGCAACTCATTCTATTATCTCCTAATGAGGGTACAGCTCTAAAACTCAGTTTTATGGTTCTGAGGCCGGCTGGTAGTCAGGTTTCCCGAACTCTGTGGTAGCTCTCAGAGAGGCTGATTCCATCAACAGCCGAAAAATATCAGAGTACTAACAGTGCCATGTTGCGCATGGATGGTGTCCCTGTTTGTACTTTTGGTGTGCATTGCAGAGGCCACATTTGGAGCCCTTTGCTACGGCTTAGGGTTTATTAATAGTAATGAGGCTATTGCTTAGTTGTTAAATAGTGTACTGAGTACTATCTATACTTGAGTCAAGTTCTTTATAAATTTAAAATGACTAAAGTACCTAAAACTAAAAAACACAAAAAACCATCGTCATCACCAAGTTCTCTAAACCTATCATTTACCAATATTCGTGGTCTTCGAAGTAACTTTTCTTCTGTTGAGTCTTATCTCTTGCAAAGTTCACCAGACCTACTTGCTCTTTGTGAGACTAATTTGAGTTCGGCTGTCCCATCTTGTGATCTTAGTGTTGATGGTTATCTTCCTTTAATTCGTAAAGACTCCAATAATCACATGCTTGGCCTGGGCATCTACATTCGTAAGAACTCACCCATTTGTCGTGAAACTAGGTTTGAATCTCCAGACTATTCATTTATGTGCTTTCGTTTAGCACAACTTCACTCTATCGCCTTTCTCTTTGTTCTATATCGCTCTCCTTCATCCCAAGATTGCACTATTCTTGATGTTATTTCTGACCAAATTGACCAAGCCCTCTCTCTTTATCCATCGGCCAATATCGTTGTTGTTGGTGACTTTAATGCCCATCACACCGATTGGCTTGGCTCTAGTGTCAGTGACTCTGCTGGCGTTAAGGCCCTCAACTTTTGCCTTTCTCAATCTCTAACTCAAATAGTCAACTTTCCAACTCGTTTTCCAGACAACCCTAATCATTTACCTTCTCTACTCGACTTATGTCTTGTTTTGGATCCTAGTCAGTGCTCAATTTCTCCACATTCACCCTTAGGTACTTCTGATCACGGTTTGATCTCTCTAAAACTATTATCAAATTCTTCTACTTCATCAGAATCCCCCTATCATCGTACCACATACAACTACCTTAAAGCTGACTGGGACTCTTTCCGTGATTTTCTTCGTGATGGCCCTTGGGTAGAAATCTTTCGTCTTCCTGCTGACAAATGTGCTTCTTACATAACTTCGTGGATTCAGGCTGGCATGGAATCTTTTATTCCCTCTCGACGATTCCAGGTCAAGCCTCACTCTTCTCCTTGGTTTTCCTCACATTGCGCTGCAGCAATTTCTAATCGAAACCGTTACTTCCATATCTATCAGCAAAACAATTCTCCAGAAAACAGACATCTGTTCACTATCGCCAGAAACCATTGTATAAAGGTTTTGTCTGACGCCAAAGCTCGCTATTCCCAGGTCATTAAATCTCGTATCTCATCACAAAAATTAGGCTCTCGAGACTTCTGGAGAATCTTTAACAGTATCAATAATAAGGGCAAATCTGTTATTCCTTCTCTCTTGTATGGTTCAGACTTTGTCACCTCACCTAAAGACAAAGCTGAATTGTTTGCTAAGAACTTTTCATCAATATCATCTCTTGATTCCACTAGTTGCGTTTTACCTGACATAGCCGTCAAACAGGTTGATCCCTTGCTTGACATTCGCATCACTTCAGCTTCTGTATCAAAAGTAATTTCCTGCTTAGACTCTTCAACAGCTTGTGGTCCTGACAACATTCCTGTTGTAGTCTTGCAGAGGTGTTCTCCGGAGCTTTCATCCATACTTTCTAAACTATTTAACAAGTGCTTATCAGAGTCTTGTTTTCCATCATGCTGGAAAGCAGCATCTGTTATCCCTATTTTCAAAAATTCCGGAGAGCGATCTGATTCATCTAACTACCGTCCCATTAGTCTTCTTCCTGTCATAAGCAAGGTTTTTGAATCTTTAATCAACAAACACTTAATCTCTCATCTTGAATCAAATAACTTACTTTCTGATCATCAATATGGATTTCGGTCTTCTCGTTCTACAGCTGATGTGCTAACAGTAATAACCGATAGGTTTTACCATGCATTGGATAGAGGTGGAGAGGTTAAGGCTATCGCACTTGACATTTCTAAAGCTTTTGATAAAGTTTGGCATGCTGGTCTTCTCCATAAGCTTTCTTCTTATGGTGTAGCTGGTAACGTCTTTAAGATTATTGAGTCCTTTCTTTCCAATCGTAGTATAAAAGTTGTCCTCGATGGACAACACTCTTCTTCACATCCTGTAACTTCAGGGGTTCCTCAAGGTTCAATCCTTGGCCCTATACTCTTTTTAATTTACATTAACGATCTTCCAGATATTCTCACATCTAAGGTGGCATTATTCGCTGACGACACTACCATTTACTCTTGTCATGATAAGAAGCCTACACTCTCTGATTGCTTGGAGGAGGTATCTGAGCTTGAAAAAGATCTCACTTCTGCTACAGCATGGGGCTCACAGTGGCTGGTGAACTTTAATTCAGATAAAACTCAATTTTATTCGGCCAATCATAATCGTAATAATTTAGATCTTCCTATATTTATAAATGGTAATGTACTAGATGAGTCATCTACCATTCATCTTCTAGGATTAACTCTTACTTCTGATCTTTCTTTTAAACCGTATATCAAATCCATTGCAAAATTAGCATCTGCTAAGGTTGCATCTCTTTATCGAGCTTGACACTTTCTTACTCCAGATTCTATTCTCTATCTCTATAAATCTCAAATCCGTCCTTGTATGGAATACTGTTGCCACATCTGGGGCGGATCTTCTAATGATGCTCTTTCTCTTTTAGACAAGGTGCAAAAACGAATTGTAAACATAGTTGGACCTGCTCTGGGAGCCAATCTCCAACCTTTGTCACATCGTCGTAATGTTGCTTCTCTTTCTCTTTTCAACAAATACTATAATGGGCACTGCTCTAAAGAGCTAGCGTCCCTTGTGCCATCTACTGAAATTCATTCTCGTGTTACTCGCCATTCAATTAAGTCTCATCCTTTTTCTGTGACTGTTCCTAAGTGCTTCAAAAACTCTTATTCTTCTAGTTTTTTTCCTCGAACATCAGTTCTTTGGAATTCGCTTCCTTCATCTTGCTTTCCTGATTCATATAACTTGCAATCTTTTAAGTCATCAGTCAATCGTTATCTTGCTCTACAGATTTAGTCTTCTCTTCCAGTAACTTCCAACTCTTATAGTGGTTGCTTGCAGCCTTGTTGGAAGTGAAGATGTAAAAAAAAAAAAAAAAAAAAAAAAATTTCTATTTCACTTAATCATTCATATTGAACTATTGGTTTAATTTAATTTTTAATTTTTTTATAAATTTAATAAATATAAATATTATTTAAATCATTTTAGTATTATAGTTTCACTATATTGACATCGTGCTAATGCTATTCCCATTTTAACCTCTATATACAATTCCATATTTTTAGGAAAAACTGTTATGACTTTATAATATAGCTTTTTTTTTAATAACATTTTATAACACACTTTTGGAGCTTTTTACTTTTTTCATCATATGTATTCATGACAGAATAACTAAATACTTATATATTTATTTACTTTTTCATTTTTAACACACAATTTTAAAATTGTTTTAGTAACTTTATATTAGTTTCAGTTTACTTTGTTTAGAAGCAAAATATTTTTTTATAAGAAAATTAGTAATCTTTTATATAAACTGCAAATTATAAGAATCAAATAAATATTTTTGTACAAGTGACATTCTTCTTTTTAATGATATTTCTGGAGTAACTTTAAAGATTTAATTTGACGTTTGAATTGTTGTTTAGACCATGTTTCATTTTTGTTCCTATACCATGGAATTCAGTTGTTTTATACTGAATGTATTAAAAAACTAATGTAAATTTAAAGGTATCGTCAAATATTAAAAATATCATATTTAAAATCAAATTTGTTATCGCTGAAACAGCACTTTACATGCTGTTGGTTGAAACTATTGAAACTTTAGACTACTTACCTGTTGGATAAGTGTACTGTTCATTATGTAAACGACCATCTAAAAAAAAATTTGAGTTTTTAAAAAAAACATTTTTAACAAAACAAAAACTTTATTTATTTGCTTATACTCTTTTTGACATTCCACAGTCATTACAAAACTGATTCATTTGAATTCATTTGATTCATGTTTAATTATTGTTTTATTAAAATGAAATGTGCTTAATTAAGATAGTTTTAATAGTGACTTACACATACACATTGAACTATTAGTTACCAAATAAATAAATATATATATTATTTAATTCATTTTATTTTTTTAGTTTCATTTTATTGACATCGTGGTTATGTTATCCCCATTTTAACTTCTATATACAATTCCATACTTTTAGAAAAAACCGTTATGACTTTATGATATAGCTTTTTTATTTTGATTTTACTTTTTAACACACTTTTTGAGCTTTTTAACTTTTTTTATCATATTTATTCATAACAGAATAACTTAATACTTATTTATTTACTTACTTTTTGATTCTTAACGCACACTATTTTAAACTTGTTTTAGTAATTTTATCTTAGTTTAAGTTTACTTTGTTTAGTAGCAAAATTTTTTTTTATAGGAAAACTAGTAATCTTTTTTATTAACTGCAAATTATAAGGGTCAAATAAATATTTTTGTATAAGTGACATTCTTTTTTTTTATGATATTTCTGATGTAACTTTGATGATTTAGTTTGACGTTTGGATTGTTGTTTCATTTTTGTTTCTATGCCATGGAATTCAGTTGTTTTATACTTAATGTATAGAACAACTGCTATTAATTTTAAGATATTGCCAAAAATTAAAAATATAATATTTACAAACAAATATGCTTTCGCTGAAACAGCATGCTGTTTCGCTGAGACTTTACATGCTTTTGGTTGAAACTATTGAAACTTTAGACTACTTACCTGTTAGATAAGTGTACTGTACATTATGTAAACGACCATCTAAAAAAAAATTTGAGTTTCTAAAAAAAACATTTCTAACAAAACAAAAACTTTATTTATCTGCTTATACTCTTTTTGAAACTCCACAATCATTACAAGACTGATTCATTTGCTAGTTTTACAATCTGCCTTTTTTTTATAGTTATATTTGCTCATTTTAATATCATCATTATAACTGCTCATTGTTGTTAATACATTTGCATTTAATTTTACTACTTTTAATTCGATAATAATATGGTACTTAACAGTACTTAACATACTGCATACTTTGACGTAAAAAAACACCAAAAAGAACACGCTAATGACAAAAAGATGATAAAAGTGATCTTAAAAAGTTTTTTATTATCTTTTAAAAAAAAAATTTTTCAATGTACAATCTTTTTGTGTTTAATTGTTGTTTAAATTAAAATAAAATATGCTTATTAAATAATTTCAATTTCACTTAATCATTCATATTGAACTCTTGGTTAACAATTTAATAAATATAAATATTATTTAATTCCTTTTAGTATTTTAGTTTCACTTTATTGACATCGTGCTAATATTATTCCCATTTTAACTTATATATTCAAATCCATATTTTTAGGAAAAACTGTTATGACTTTATTATACAGCTTTTTTTTAATATTATTTTTAACACACTTTTGGAGTTTTTTACTTTTTTCATCATATTTATTCATAACAGAATAACTTAATACTTTTATATTTATTTACTTTTTAATTTTTAACACACACAATTTTAAAATTGTTTTAGTAACTTTATATTAGTTTCAGTTTACTTTGTTTAGAAGCAAAATATTTTTTTATAAGAAAATTAGTAATCTTTTATATAAACTGCAAATTTTAAGGATCAAATAAATATTTTTGTACAAGTGACATTCTTCCTTTTAATTATATTTCTGATGTAACTTTGAAGATTTAACTTGACGTTTGAATTGTTGTTTAGACGGTGTGGTATTTTTGTTTCTATACCATGGAATTCAGTTGTTTTATACTTAATGTATTAAAAAATTAATGTAAATTTAAAGGTATCTTCAAATATTAAAAAATTCATATTTAAATTCAAATTTTCGCTGAAACAGCACTTTACATGCTGTTGGATTTAGACTTTGGACATCTTAACTGTTAGATAAATATTCTGTACATTATGTAAAAGACCATCAAAATAAAAATTAAAGTTTTGAAATAAACAACATTTTTAACAAAACAAAAATATTATTTAGTTGTTTATACTATTTCTGACATTCCACAATCATTATAAGACTGGTTCATTTGCTAGTTTTACAATTTCTCTTATTTTTAAAGTTAAATTTGCTCATTTTAATATCATTATTTTAACTGCTCATTGTTGTTAATACATTTGCATTTAATTTTACTACTTTTATTTCGATAATAATAAGGTACTTAACAGTACTTAACATACTGCATACTTTGATGTAAAAAAACACCAAAAAGAACACGCTTATGACAAAAAGATGACAAAGTGATTTTATAAAGTTTTTTATTATCTTTTAAAAAAAAAATTTTTTAATGTACGATCTTTTCGTGTTTAATTATTGATTAATTAAAATAAAATGTGCTTATTTAAAATAGTTTCAATTTCACTTAATCATTCATATTGAACTCTCGGTTAACAATTTATTAAATATAAATATTATTTAATTCATTTTAGTAATTTTAAATATGAATTAAATATTATTTAATTCATATTTAAAATCAAATTTTCGCTGAAACAGCACTTTACATGCTGTTGGATTTAGACTTTGGACTTCTTAACTGTTGGATAAATATTCTGTACATTATGTAAAAGACCATCAAAAAAAAAATTAAAGTTTTGAAATAAAAAACATTTTTAACAAAACAAAAATATTATTTAGTTGTTTATACTCTTTTTGACATTCCACAATCATTATAAGACTGGTTCCTTTGCTAGTTTTACAATTTTCCTTATTTTTAAAGTTAAATTTGCTCATTTTAATATCATTATTTTAACTGTTCATTGTTATTAATACAGTTGCATTTAATTTATTACTTTTATTTCGATATTAAAATTGAACTTAACAGTAGTTAACATACTGCATTCTTTGACGTAAAAAAACAGCAAAAAAAAAAACACTAATGACAAAAAAGTGACAAAGTGATTTAAAAAAAAAAAAATTTATCCTTTAAGAAAAAAATAATTTACTAAGGTACAACCTTTTTGTGTTTAATTATTGTTATATTAAAACGATATGTGCTTATTTAAGTAATTTTAAATGTTGACTTAATCATACAAATTGAACTATTGGTTAACAATCAAAAGAATATATATATATATATATATATATATATATATATATATATATATATATATATCATTTAATTCATTTTAATTCATTAGTTTCATTTTATTGACATCGTGCTAATTTTATTCCCATTTTAACTTCTATATACAAATCCATATTTTTAGAAAAAACTGTTATGACTTTATGATATAGCGTTTTTTTTTTTGGTATTATTTTTTAACGCACTTTTGAAGCTTTTACCTTTTTTATCATCTTTATTCATAACAGAATAACTTAATACTTTTACATTTATTTACTTTTTTATTTTTAACACACACTATTTTAAAATTGTTTTAGTAACTTTATATTAGTTTCAGTTTACTTTGTTTAGAAGCAAAATATTTTTTATAAGAAAATTAGTAATCTTTTATATAACCTGCAAGTTTTAAGGATCAAATAAATATTTTTGTACAAGTGACATTCTTCCTTTTAATTATATTTCTGATGTAACTTTGAAGATTTAACTTGACGTTTGAATTGTTGTTTAGACGGTGTGGTATTTTTGTTTCTATACCATGGAATTCAGTTGTTTTATACTTAATGTATTAAAAAACTAATGTAAATTTAAAGGTATCTTCAAATATTAAAAAATTCATATTTAAATTCAAATTTTCGCTGAAACAGCACTTTACATGCTGTTGGATTTAGACTTTGGACATCTTAACTGTTAGATAAATATTCTGTACATTATGTAAAAGACCATCTAAAAAAAAATTAAAGTTTTGAAATAAACAACATTTTTAACAAAACAAAAATATTATTTAGTTGTTTATACTCTTTTTAACATTCCACAATTGTTATAAGACTGGTTCATTCGCTAGTTTTACAGTTTCCCTTATTTTTAAAGTTAAATTTGCTCATTTTAATATCACTATTTTTACTGTTCATTGTTATTAATACAGTTGCATTCAATTTATTACTTTTATTTCGATATTAAAATTGTACTTAACAGTAGTTAACATACTGCATTCTTTGACGCAAAAAAACAGCAAATAAAAAAAACATTAATGAGAAAAAAGTGACAAAGTGATTTAAAAAAAAAAAAATTTATCTTTTAAGAAAAAAATAATTTATTAAGGTACAACCTTTTCGTGTTTAATTATTGTTTTATTAAATTGATATGTGCTTATTTAAGTAATTTTAAATGTTGACTTAATCATACAAATTGAACTATTGGTTAACAATCAAAAGAATATATATATATATATATATATATATATATATATATATATATATATATATATATATATATATATATATATATATATATATATATATATATATATATTATTTAATTCATTTTAATTCATTAGTTTCATTTTATTGACATCGTGCTAATGTTATTCCCGTTTTAACTTCTATATACAAATCTATATTTTTAGAAAAAACTGTTATGACTTTATGATATAGCTTTTTTTTTTGGTTTTATTTTTAAACGCACTTTTGAAGCTTTTTACCTTTTTTATCATATTTGTTCCTAACAGAATAACTTAATGTTTATTTATTTATTTACTTTTTGATTCTTAACACACACTATTTTATTTACATTGTTACAAAATCGCAATGTTTAAAGTTCAATTATTCTCATAGTTATAATAGACTCAACACTAAAAGTCGAGTTTTTAGTGATGTTCGTGCCATCAGTAAAGAATAAAACATAGAAATAAAATGGCTTAAAAATCGCTATAATGCTAGCTAGTTGCTCGCTAGTCGCTAGCTCATTTCCTACCCGGATATATATATTATATAATTCATTTTAATTTTTTAGTTTCATTTTATGGACATCGTGCTAATGTTATGCCTTTTTTAACTTCTATATACAATTCCATACTTTTAGGAAGAACTGTTATGACTTTATGATATAGCTTTTTTTTTAATACTATTTTTTAACACACTTTTGGAGCTTTTTAACTTTTTTATTATATTTATTCATAACAGAATAACTTAATACTTATTTATTTATTTACTTTTTGATTCTTAACATACACTATTTTATATTTGTTTTAGTAACTTTATCTTAGTTTAAGTTTACTTTTTTTAGATGCAAGTATTTTTTTATATGAAAATTAGTAATGGTTTTTATAAGATATTATTTTAGTTAAAGTTGTTGTTTTTTTAGTTGTTTTTAGTTGTTGTTTTTTTGTTTTCTAAAAATAAAAGCTGCATTATTTAGTTTTAAAAGTTTCTCATAAAAATATGGCATTTTATATAGAAGTTCATTACACTTTTGTGTCAGAAAGCACATTACATTTTTGTGGTAGAAACTAATGAGTCTATAGACTTCTTATCTGTTGAATAAATAAACTCTCCTATAGGTAAACAAAAAGCTAAAAAAAATAATAAAATGTTTAAAATGACACCAAGATGACTTGTAAATTAAAAATAACAAGTAAATTAAAAATGCTTTTTGTTATCTTTTAACAAAATTTGTTTTTTATATTTACAAACTTTTTGTGTTTAATTATTGTATTAATAAAAATGAAATGTGCATTTTTAAGTTATTTTTAATGTTAAGTTGTTCTATACCTTGGGCTATTGCAGAAAAATAAAAAAAATATATTATTTGATCCGTTTTAGTTTTTTATTTAATTTTATTGACATTGAGCTAATGTTATGAGTATTATAATTTTTAAATACGATGCCCTTTTTTTAAAAAAACCAGTACTGAATTTAATTCTTTAAATAGTATAACTTCCTTTAAAAGCTCAAAAAGTGTAATAAAAATTTAAATTTTTATTACACTTTTTGAGCTTTTAAACTTTTTTTTTATGTTTATTCATAACAGATTTATTTAATATTAATTTATTTACTTTTTGTTTCATAAAACACACTATGTCATGTTTATTTTAGTAAGTTTAACTTAGTTTATATGCAGGATTGTTTTTATAAGAAAAGTAGTTATCTTTTTTATAAACTGTAAATTATGAGGATCAAATAATTGTTTTAGTTAAAGTGATTGTCTCCTTTTTTATGATGTTTCTGATATAACTTTGTTTGCTTATTTTGAAGTTTGGATTGTTGTTTACTCCATATTTCATATTTGTTTTTATACCATGGACTTCAGTTGTTTAATTCTAAATGTATAGAACATCTACAGTAGGGGATGCCAAATAATAAAATTTCTGGTCGCGTTTTAAAAACCTGTTCTATACATAAAAGTAAGAAAAAATATGAATTTTTAATGTTCTATCTCATTTCTAGGTGCCAGAAGATTAAATCAGGGTTTTACGAAAATACGAAAAGTATGGTGAAATTACGTGAAGGATAACGAAATAACAAGATTGCACCATTTTGTGTTTAGTTTAAGTTACATTTACTATATGACACATCTATTATAAACTGTTAATAATTTCTTATAGCTAAAGAACTAAAAATAGTTAAAATAACATTAACTTTTCAGAAAAAAATGAGTCCGAAAAAGAAGAAAAATGCGCATATAAGTGAGAGTGTCAGACGACCATTATATCTGTTAACTAACCCAATTTCACAGCTACCAAATACACAGCTTCCAACCAATGGTAATATTTTAAGATATTATTAATATATAATTTTAAGTAAAACGAAAAGATTTATCAAAACACAAATTAACATGGCCTGTAAGAAGCAAAAAGGAACAAGGAACTTGGTACGTAAAGGTAAGACATAACTATAAAACAAACATTTTTATTCCTAAATTTAAGAGGACTAAAATGTTAAATAAATGAAATATTTTTAAAAATCTAATTTAGGTAGAGATATTTGTGACCTTGAGGCGCAATCAAACTGCTTGATTAGACAAATAGTCAACATTTGGACCAAAGCAGGATTTGAAGCATACGTCATTTAAGAATATTCAATTCTTGACAAACTTCAAGCTCTACACAAGAAGTATCAACTTTTGAAAAAACGTGTTACTCTAAAAGATACCAAAGATACTAGAGCAGATATTAAGAATGAATTCATTTTAACAGTGGAACAGTTGTTTGACATAGGTTAAGATAACTTAGAGTAACTGATGAGAAGTAAAAAAATAACACCAAGAACACCAGCTGCTGATGAAGAAGACCTAAATTTCTATCTAGACCAACAAACAGACAGGTAAGAATATTAATTATAATGTAGTCTTTTTGTAAATTTCTCTATATTAATCAAAATTGTTAGTAGCGCAGCTACTTTATGTAAGGCATTCAGTCTGTCTGCCTGTCTTTCAGCTATCTATCTGTCCGTCCATCAGTGTAAGTTATTGCATTCTAATGTTATGCCTTTTGATTTTAGGAAGTGGTATATTTCTAAGCCAGATGAAGAGCTAGCTACCATTATTGAGAAACACCTAGAAAGGCATAAGAGACAAGAACAATTGAGAATGAAGTACCTAGAGGAGAAACAAGCTGAAGAAAGATGTAAATCAGCTTCCCCACCACTTGATGAAAGTGATGAAGACTTGACGCAAACTAAGAAAAGGTAAATCAAGTCTCATAAAACTGGTAAAAAATATTCTTCTTAAAAATGAAATCCTAACTTATTTTTGGTAAATATTTTAGAGACAAGTCTGGTCCAGCCAGTTTGGATATGGATATGTTTGATCCAACTTTGACAGATCAAGAAGACTCATTCGAAGGTAGTGATGATGACTTTGAATATGGTGCTGCTCAAGTTGAAACCCTAAAATTCTTACCTAAAGGCTCAATGCAAGTAAATAAAATAATCACAAGAGAAGAACTGATGGCAGTAACTACACCTATTTGTGCTAGAAGGATAATCAGCATTGAAATACAAACCTGGATGTTGGTGTCTATTGTTAATTAACTGGGGGAGATGTTAATCAGATGGACATTTCTATTAAGGGATATTACACTTAAATAAAATGTCTTTTATGCCATTTTTTTGCCAGTCAAAATTAAGTTTTTTTTTCAAATCAAAAAGTTTTTCTTCAGATGCGATATTTCTTGTCCCTGATTTTCTAATGTAAATCTGTTATAAATGAAAGTTATGATACAAAATCTTACTATACCTTTAAAGAGTGGTATATTTACCTAAATTAAACCATCATAACAATAGTATATTGTATTAAAAAATTATCTTTATTTACTATTTAGGTAATACAATCAGAAAAAATTACAGAGAGATAATGGCTGGAACACACCTTGTTCTCCACTTTGATGGCACGCTGTTAAAACATTTAGATGAAAATCAGTGTTACCAGCCCTGAATTTGAGAATAAAAACTATCTCTTACTTGGTGCTTTACCTGCAGAATCTGGCAAAGCTGTTGATGAAACAGAAATTATTCACAACTTACTTGAGTTCTTTGAAATATGCAATTAAGTTTTCGCAATTGTTGCAGATACTACCAATCTTAACACAGGAGCCCATGCAAGAAATCTAACCAGATTGTGCTATATTTTGGGAAAACCTGTTCTCTGGCTGTTATGCAGACATAACATGTTTGAAATAGCAATACATAGGGCAATTGTAATTGTTGGAGTTACTGCTGCACCACAACGATAGTTTTATAAATATTTCAAGAAAGACTGGGAAGTATATCACGCTATAGGTTAAAAAGTTGACCTGTCTGAGTTTAAGAAATTTGATGAGAAGAAGCTGGAAGTCGGATCTGAACCTCATACGTTTTACCTGGATGCTCAGGAGTATCTGAAGCTTGCTCTTAATCACGAAGTGTTTCCAAGAGATGATTACAATCATCTAGTAAAGTATGCTGCATTTTATTTAAATGTCTTATCGCCGAAGCTGAATGATTTTAAAATTCATCAACCAGGAGCCAATCACAATGCTCGTTTCATGGCTGACAGTCTATACAATTTAGCTATTGTTATGATATCAGGTATAATAGATTTTCTACCTAAAGATCAGTTACCCCACCTGGAAAAGTCAGCCTATATATGTGCAGTTTTTTATGCTCCATGGTATTTACGTTCATACAAAGTAGAATATGCTGTTAAGAATGATTACCTGTCAATCAAGTCAGCTTATGTTATACAACAAGAGTTTGATGTCAAAATTGGAAATGCATTTCTGAAATTTTTTTCAACAGCACTCTTGGTACCTTGCCCCAAAGGTTGCTGTGTTAATACTTGCAGATCCAGATTTTGAAGAAAAGCTTGCAGTTCTAGAAAGCTGTTGCCCTTTTAGGTACCAGATATCAACACTATTCGCAATGGTAAACCTGATGCTGTTCTAATTTTACCTACCTCTGAAATAACAGAGTTGATTACAGAGGAAAGTTGAACTCTGTTTATTGTTATAGGCATACAGTATGAAATTCCTACCTGGAAAACAGGTTTAGCTGCTGGAAAGCTGGAGGAAAATGATTCATATGTATCATTTTATTAGTTTGTTAAATCTCTTGTTAAAAATGACCCAGCAGAGAGGAATTTAAATTTAATCCAAAGATATATAAGTAGTAGTATAAAGGAGGAAAAAAGACAAGATATTCTGCTTGTTGTACGAGAGCACAGGGCATTAATATCAAAAGGAGCAAAACAATTAACACTGGCCAAATTGTAAAAAAATATTTTTTCAGAAAAAAATGATTTTTCGTATTTGCGTAAAAACCTAAAATCATCTTCCAGCACTAAATATGGTCATAGAGAGGTAAAATTTGGTTTATTTACTTCTTTTTATGTATAGAATAGGTATTTATACTGCGACCTTTCATTTTTTAAAAATCGTGATATTTTGGCATCCCCCAATCTACAGTATACTGCAAGGTATTGTCAAGGATTAAAAATATTATATTTACAATCAAATTTGACTTCGTTGAATTAACACATTACAAGCTATAGATAGAAACTAACGAGTCTTTAGACTTTTTACCTCTAGGTAAATTGAACTCTTTTTTATGTAAATGATCATCTAAAAAAATAATAAAACTTTTAAAATAAACAACATTTTTAACAAACCAATTACTTTCATTAGTGATTTTTACTAACTACAACATTTCACAATCATTATTAGACTAGTCCATTTGTTTGTTTTGCAATATCTTTTTTTTTAAAGTTATTTTTACTCATATAAATATTATTACTACAGTTGTTTGTTTTTTTTTGATACTTTTATTTTGATTATCAATTGGTATTTACCAGTAGTTAACATTCTGTTTATTTTGCCACAAAAAAAAACATCAAGACAACAAAGTGAATTTAAAAAGTTTTTTGTTATCCTTAAACAAAAAAAATTTTTAAATGTATAACCTTACTGTGTTTAATTTTTGTTATATTAACAATGGGATCTGCTTTTTTAAGTTATTTTCAATGTTGAGTTGTTCTATACTTTGGACTATCGGATAAAATATAATATAAAAAAGGAATTTTATTTTATACTGTTTAAAACTACTTTAGAATAAAAGCAATCACTGGAATGCCCATTTTTAAAATTTTAAAATGGTTAAAGCTTGTAGAGATAAAAAGAACTAAAGGAAACAAAAGAAAAAAAATGTTTTATGAAAAGAAAAAATTAGTTAAAGTTAGTTGGATATGGATGTAAACAATAGCAATGTAAATATAGAATCAACTTGTGTAGACACCAATGTAAATATTACTAAAAGTGTTGAAGATATAAATGTAAATATCATAAGAATTTATGTTGATTTTAATGTAATTGGTTCTGATCACATTAGTGCTTCTGGTAAAAAAATTTAAAATATTTCATTATCAATTCCCATAATATCAAGTAGCTTTATTACATTATACCGTTTCATTGATTTAGAAATACTTAACTCTGTAGTATCTACTCTTAGATGTCCAGAATGCATGCCATTAAAGCTATTTCTTTCAGAAAACGAAAACAAGAGAAAAGGTCTAGCTTTTTGTTTCTATATTAACTGATTTATTTTTAATTACTCAAAAGAATTTTACTTATCGACATTTAACAAACAAAATAGTTTTGATATAAATACCAGGGCTGTGTATTCCATGAGATCATGTTTTCAAGGTTATTCTGAATTTTCAAAGTTTGTTTTTTTGATGGACATGCCCAAACCAATGAATATTAACAATTATAACAAAGTTGTTTTAAAATTAACAAATGCAGTAAAATGTGTAGCTGATGACACAACAATGGATGCTGCGAGAGAACTAAAAGATTTGAAAAATGATAATTTTGTTTTAAACTCCATTACTGACCGTTTGCTCAATGCAATTAATGTTGCAGTATCATGTGATGGAACTTGACAGCGATGAGGCTACTCTACAAACAATAGAATTGTTTCTGTTATTCCAATGGAAACAGGCAACGTATTAGATGTTGAAGCAATGAACAAGGTATGTAAAGGTTGTTTTCTTAAAGAACACTTAAAAAAAGAAAACCCATTTGCCTATGAAAAATGGCACAATAAACACAAATGTACTTATAACTATCAAAGACTAGCTGGTGGTATGGAGCCAGAGAGTGCCCGCAGAATATAGAACAGGTCTATTGCAAAACATAGTCTGCGATAGATCTGAATTTTATGGTGATGGAGATAGCAAAGGTTATGATGCTGTTAAAAATGTGACTGAAGATATACAAGTAAACAAACTTGAATGTATTGGACATGTTAAAAAAAGAGTTAGAACTCGCTTACGTAAGCTTAAAAAAAGGGAAAACGTCTAGGTGGTTGCGGAAAGTTGACTGATGCAACTATCGATCGTCTCAAAAAGTATTACGGCTTAGCTATTGGCCAAACTAAAAATGATTTAAACGCTATGTAATCTGCTGTAAGAGCTACACTTTATCACGTTGCCTCATCAAAAAATGAAAATTTATATTTTCCTCATTGTCCTGAAGGTGCAGATAGTTGGTGTCTGTATAATAGCAACAAAGCAAATCATACCTCGACATATAGGCCTGGTCCTGGTTTACTTATTGTTTTTATAAAATTAAACCAGTTAATGATGAGTAAAGTAATGACATTCTTTTAAAAAAATGTCTATATGGCTTTACCCAAAATAACAATGAATCATTTAACATGACAATATTGGAAGGTACATCAAAAAGACATTATGTTTTGCTTACACATCTTCAGTTTGGTGTTCATAATGCAGTTGCCCATTTTAACATTGGTAAACAAGCTAGTGTGTTAATTTTAGAAAAAATGTATTTGAGACCTGGAATGTACTTGTTAGAAGGATGTAGGCAAATAAATAAAAAAGATTGTTTTTAGCCAGATATAAAAATTTAAACCGAGTAAGAAAACGCAGACAAATAAATCGATGAAAAAAGAGGAACAGATATGATAAATCTTTTGAAAAAGATGGAAACCCGTATCAAACTGGTGCATTCTGAGATTTATCTCATTTGTTTTATCATGATTTGCATATTTATGTATACTATTTAGAAATTTTTTATGTAAGCATTTTTAAAAGCTGTTTTTCTTAGATGAAAAACAGCTTTTAAAAATGCTTATATAAGAAAAAAAATTTTCTCAGAGGTTTTCAAATATGCCGGCCAACATATCTAAAAAACTAAAAGTGATGTAAAGTTGAAATTTTTAGTATAAATGCATTTTATTGCCTTCTGTGATTTGTGTGACGGATTTTTTATACAATTTATTTCAGTTCTAAAACAGGTCAACAAAGTCACAAAACTTAAGCAATTTTTTTTGCCCAAATTTGGTCCTACATTTTAGCTTATTAAAAAATCATATTCAAAATCTGCTCCAATCATATCACAGAACAAACTTGCAGGAACAATTATCCAAAAATATTTTATTAAAGTTGTGTAGATTTTGAAATACGCTGGCCGGGGTTTTTTTATAACTTAGTGGCTTTTGGTCTACTTTACAGGTGCCGTTTTACCAATAAACTTTTTTTTTTAATCTAGTTTTTTTATTTACAATATGAATACAAAGTTGAATTTATAAAATAGTAATTACTCAAAAAAAATTCTGAGGGGTATTCTACCTTAATATCTGCTTAATCATTAATAAGATCGAAACCTTTGCTTCATCAGCTTAATTCGTAATAAGATCGACGATTATTTAATTTGTTGACTTCTGTAGTAAAAAATAAACCTAATGTTATTTTAAAAATAGTAAAGTAGCTTTTAAAATTAGGTAATTTATTGCATTCATGCATTATAATAATAACACAATTCAAGTCCTTTCTCAATTGTATTTAAAGTATATCAATCTGTAACTTTTAATTTTTAAATTCGAAGACAATGATGACTCTAGAAGACGTTACGTTTTTTAAAGGTCAAGAGGTCAAATTTTTGATAAAGTTAGTGTTTATTTCCTAACCCTTGCATCTCACACGGTTAACTCTATGTTAAACTTTAGAGAGCAAGATCGTTTAATACCTTATTTTGAAGGAGTTAAAAATAATCTGTTTTTTTTTATAATATAAAAAATCAGGTGGTTTGATCATTTGTTTTTTTTGTTGTTGTTAAACACTTATAGTTGTTAAACAATTATTACCAGGTATGTCATTTAACAAATAAAAAAAAAAGGTTGTATTTGTAATGCTTCTATTATATACATTGATTTATATTTGTGTGTTATTAATTATGTATATTTATGTGTTGAAGTTGTATGGGTTTATATTTTGTTACATACATACACACATTTAAATTTTTTTGCATTGTATTAGTGACCTTTTCTTCATTAGAACTTTAAATATTTAAAAAAAATGAAGTTTCAATGTTTCCAAGTTTATTCACTTGAAGCAAATAATTGTTTATAGAGGTTTTTTATTATTAGTTTTGTATTTACTTATTTATTGCAAATCTTGCATTAAGTACATTTCAAAGTAATGAAAGGGATTTTATGATGGAAGATTACATTTTACTGTTCAATGCTAGCAGTACTTGCTGAGCAGACAGACCTTGTAATTTTATGCTTTGTTTTATTTATGAGTTTTTATCTATAAAAAAAATTTTATTTTCTTTATGTTTTTTTTTTAAATAAATACCTATATTTTTTTGCCAATAATTTACAATAATTACATCAATTTTGTCAATAAACTACCTTAAGTATATATCATTACTCAATTAAAAAGATATTCAATTATATCAATTTATTTATGACTTTAGTTTATGTTCTTGAGAAAAATATGTTATCTTTACACATTGCTCAGTTATTTTAAAACATTCAATTAAAATATGACTAATAGTAGAGTAAAATATAATTAGATTGTTATATTATGCTTTTTATTTGTATACACTGTACTTTATATGAGTTTAACCTAGTTCAAAGTTCAACCTAAAAAAGAAAGGTTTAACGTTTATTATTTTAAGCATCGTTTTTACACACTCCTTTGATGCTTATTATTAATTATATAATTATTTCTGATAGTTTAAGAAGTGAAATAACTAGACTAACTCAAACCTATTATATTTTTTTTATTTTGTGTAATAACTCTCATAAGGCACTTAAGGTGCGGGCTTTAATTTAGCGCACAATCTCCGCAATTTTCTTTTTTTATTTTTTCCAATTTTCTAGAAAACAAAGTAAAACAATTTTAAAGGTCTATAGATATTATATGCATACCATATAAGAAGATATTATAGAATTTTTTAAAAAGCTTTTTAAAATTTCTAAAAACATAAAAAAACCGTTAGAAATTTGTAGAGCATGTGTAATGATAGAATTTAAGGTTTTAATGTGCTTAGTAATATATTAAGTGTAGGCATTAAAAAGACAACTTTTTTTCTTATAGAAAAAAGTTTTTACATGGAAACTTTAATTTTCTTCAAAATTAAGAGGGCGAGAGTTCAAATAAATGGGATTAACTTTTTCTGGATATTTCCGGAGTTCCGGATTTTTCTCAACTTTCATTTTTTCCGGATAGTAAAAAAGTTCTCCATACATATACAAGATTTGGAAAACATTTTTGTAAAATAAATGTTTTTCAAGCTTTTTAAATTATTACTCATAC